AGAGAGGGGTTAATTTGTCCCTTTATCAAGGCCCTGACCCGCCCCTTCCCTTCCCTATAGCAAGGGAACAGGTAATGTCTTGAACTTGACCTCACATTTGGTTCCTGATCTGACTGACTAGCAGGTTCAATCATCCTAGAATTCCCTCAACCATCTGAAGAAGTCTCTATCCTTCCTCTGGCCACTGGGGGTAGGGCACAGGGCTCAGCTGAGGGTCTCAATCACCTAAGCAATCTGGTCATCATTTAGTTTAGTAGGTCTCAAACCAATGGGAGAAGGAAGGGTTCCCTCCTTTATTGTTGCCAACTCATTAGAGAAGATTTTACTTATTTTTTCCTACAGAGTGGGAACAAGTGGGGTGGGGGAAACATTGAAGGCTGAAACCCTAGTTCTCAGTGTATGCCTTCTATTTTCCCTGCATCCTTGGCCCAAACAGGGTTTCTCCAACCAAGCATTTCTGCAATAAAGAGGACAAAAGAGAGCAGCCCAACCATAAGGTTGGTTCTGGTTCTTGGACTCAGTTCCCAGGGCTGTGGCTCACAGGACACCTTCATGCTCCAAGTGTCAAATGCCTTCTAGGGCAACTCCATTTTTACTTAGTTTCAGTGGCAACTCAGATGCCAGGGTTGAGAATAGCCCCCGTCAGTCCCCATTCAGCCTTCCCGTAGGAAGCTCCCTGACCCACCCTGCCTGCCAGTTCCACGATGGTACCCATTTACAGACAATCCCTCCTGCTCTGTCTCCCCCTTCCTCACCACCCAGGCCTGCCCATGCAACTCTAGGGATAAAGCCAGCTTTCCTGTCTTTTGAGAAAAGAAAAGATCTTTTGAGATCCTCTTTGGTTCACCTGGGGCAAGAGACTGAGTGGCAAACTAGACTTGAGTTCTTATTGCTGGGTCTGAGGCTCTGACCTGCCATAGGCTGGCTATGGGCAGGGGGTAAAGTGCTCCCTCCTCTGCAGAGCACTGTGAGGCGTTTTTATACGGGCAGAGTCTACCTCAAAGATTTTAGGCAGGAGAAGAACATCGAGGATCTCACCAAAAGGCCTGCCATGCACTGATGGAAGATCTGAACTCAGGAACCCCAGCAGGGTCTTAGCTTTCCCGTCTTACTCCAGGCCTGCTGGCCCTGACCAGCACTTGTTCCTACCAGGACCTAGTACACGGATCGATCCAGCCATGTCTGCTCCCCTTAGGCTTGTAGGCGCTCCTTTCTTTCCCAGGCTAGGCCTTCACAGTCCCCGAAGTCTGCTGGACTGGGGCAGATCCTGCTCTTCCAGGACCAAGACATAGCCTGGTCGACCCCTGACCGGGGGACTCCTTTCTAACAGGGTAAAGGAGTTAGAACCCAAGAAAGAATGCTGCATGCAATGCTCAAGCCCAGGCTAACAGAACCTGCTTGCAGCAGAAGTGATGGCTCCTAATTGTATGTCCTGGGCCTTCTAGCAACCGTGGCTTGGGCGGCGGCGGCGGCGGCGGCGGCGGCGGCGGCTATCGCGGCCGGCCCTGACCGCGGAGGCGGTGGCGCCGAGGACTTGACCTTTACCGGGCGAGAGGAGAGCAAGTTCTGCGCCGCCAGGAGGGGCCCGCTGCGGCTCCGGCCTCTTCCACCCAATGGCAGCCCAGGCAACCCACGCAGGCTGCGCGCTCCCCCGCATTCCCCCCTCCATTTTGTGCGCTGTCCCCGGGCAGCCTGCCTGCGGGCCAGGAAAACAAAGCCCCCAGCGTTATCCTCACCATCTCCCCTGTCAACTCCTGTCCCTAACCCCCACGGTCAGAAGGCCGAGGCGAGGCCTAAAGCTAAGCAGTCCAAGACCTTCTCCAGGGCCCTCTCCTCGCGCCCGACCCCAGCCGCCCTCGGGTATAGCCTGGGTACGGCTCCGTGCCAACCGGCCTCCGCCGGGGCTCAGTTCCCGTGCTGGGGGTCCTGGCGTCAGGCTGCGGCCTGCGCCGGGCCTTCAGCCGAGCCCGCGTCGCCAACGCACGGGGACGGCGTAGGCCCTCGCCGGCCGCGTCCCAGCCGAGGTGAAGAACGCGCTGCCCGTGTCCCCGCTTGGCCTGCTCGCGCTCGGCTCCCTCGGATCTCATCCCACCGGTCAGCTCCGGGCTCCGAAAGCGGAAGTCTTTGGTAGAGAAGAACATGGTTTCTTTTCAGCCCGTCTCAAACCCCCTTTTAGAGAAAATGGTCCTGTCAAGTTTTATTTCCCGTTGCAAACCACCTTCCACGCTGCCAAGAATTAAAGACCAGGAGAGATTAAATCCCCATTATCCTCTTGGAGAGGAGGGCGTGGCGGAGAACGGGGCTCCCCACGAAACCTTTCTTGCCGCGCGGGTCCACAGCAGAAAGCGCCCCGGGGCCCGCTCGACCAGCGGTGACGTCAGCGGCAGCTTCGGGGAGTCGCGCCGCGCGGGTCCAGGGGACTTGCAGTGCCCGCCAGGCGCGGCCTCGACCCCCGCCTCACGGTCCCGCTGAGCTACGGACTGGCGCTGAGCCGGCCGTCGGAGCGCGGCCCTCGCTTCGAGGGTCGGAGCCTCCATTTTGAGTGGGGGGTTCCTGTGGGAGCGCGAAGATTTGAGGCCGCGCTTCTGTCTAGAGGGCGCGTCTCCAGGCCTCTCCGCGTTCCCCGGAGCTCCGCATCCGCGCGTCCACACCCGCACCTAAGCAGGCCCGCGCCGCTGCGCGGCCTCTTGCGAAGCTCTGAAAAATCTCACACACAGTTGTAATGATTTCTGCCCGGTGGATTCAGCTCTTCAGAAATGAAATCGACTGTGGCAAGGCCTTGGCTGCTCTCACGGAGGGATTTTTTCCCCTCCCTTTATAATAAAATTTAAAATAGCAAGCTCTCCAGGCCATGATCTGTGCAAGGTAGATGAGTGAGGATTGGGTGGGTCTTTTCAGAGAATAGAGCCAGTTGTTATTTACCCGGTGCCCGAACAGATGAAAACTTAATTAGCGCGCCTGTCCTAAAAGGTAGGCGTAAATCTCCCCAGGCCTTTTGGATAACGCTACATGAGATGTGAGCAACTCGCTGCACACTTCTCTGAATGTCCAGGACTTGGGCTGCTGACACGCATTCGATGAAGTTTAAAGGAATGCGCATAAATCAGCAAGCCCCTAGCGTCAGAGAGAGAGAGAGAGAGAGAGAGAGAGAGAGAGAGAGAGAGAGAGAGAGAGAGAGAGAGAGAGAGAGAGAGAAATCTCTGTACAGAGTACAGAGACAAAATTTAGTCTTT